GCCCTCTTTGTTTCTGAGGGGCAGGTTTGGAGGGCAGAGGCAAGGCCCTGGTGGGCCAAGGTCTAGCCTTCGTGGGCGTGTTGGATTCAGACCCGTCAGGTGTCGCAGTAGCTCCCTGGGCTCCCTTCGTGCGTCCGCGGAGTGCCGCCCCCGGAGTCCAAGACGGTGGTTTGTAAAGCGGCACCCGTCTGAGACGTGGTCTGGTCCCCGTCAGCCCATCTAAGAGGAGAGATGCTCCCGTCTCCCTGGGATCGATCACACCAGGGCCTGGGGGCCGTACCCCACACTGGGTAGATCCGCCAGAGTCTTGTTCTAGAATGTTGCCCGGGTAGGGGGAGCCGCAGGCATGCTGAACTGTGGCGCCCTCAGGGCCAGGTCCCCCACGTCCGTACATGTGCAGGATCACCTGCTCTCTGCGTCCTCAGGGAGACCGCCTGACCCAGAGAGCACCCCTTCCCTCTCCCGGCCCAAGTGGGGATGCCGGTCACCCTGGCCTTCTCCCGTTGTCCCCTGAGGACCGCTTCCTTTGAGCTGTGGGTCACCCATGGAAGGTGTCATTCAGTGCAGCCTGTGGCCTGGCCTTGGGGGGTGCCCTGCAGGGGTGCATATGGGTGTTGCTGGGACTCTCCCAACGAATGATGCCAGAACTCAGTGTTTCCGAGCGTGTGTAACTCCCCAAATTCCCTGGGCCTTACACCCCTTGAGAGGCATCCCTGGTACCATGTCTCTTTGTGTTCTTTCTGGAGGTACGAGGGGAGAGGTCAAAAGACCTATGGGGACAGAGCCTCCCCGAGGTGAGCGGGTGCAACTGGCCTGGTCCCTCACAGCTGAGCCATGAGCCCTGCTTGGCAGGGCTGGAGGCGCCTCCTGCAGTGGGGTCTCAGGTTCGAGTTAGGGCTGATGTTCGGGCAAGAAAGGAGCCTTCAGAGTTTGGTTTCCTCAAGAAGGGCCAGTGGGCTGGGGAGAAGTATAAGACTTTAGCAAACATGGGGTTGAGGGAGCGTGTGAGGTGGGCTGGGGGCTCCCGCCCCGTAGGTGCTGTGGGTGCAGAGCCTGGAGGACACAGCGGGGCGTCAGGAAGGTGAGGGGAGCACAGCATGAGTCCATCTGCCTGCTAGATCTGGGGCCTTGTAACAGTCCTACAGCGGCCCGGTGGAGTGCCCACACGTTTGATGGGACGAGGCCAGCTGGGGGCGGGTCCCTTGCTGCTGGACGGCAGGTGTGACCTAGACCTTTTGGGGTCGGGGCCCTGGCTGGGGCCACACTACTCCCTGTCTGGGCAGGGTGGGATGGTCCCAGAGTGTGGGCAGGAGGCAGCGGCCAGCAGGGCCAGGCGGGCGGTGGGCCCAGCCTGCCTGTGTGCTCCCCTGGGGTCCCCTCCCCTGGCCCCACCGGAGGAGGCAGTTGGCTCCATCTGTCATGGAAGCCAACCCTGGCCTCACGGATCCTGTTTCCTGAGACCCGGATGGCCAGCCCCAGGGTGGCCGCTGGTCAGCGTGCACCCTGTGGCGGCTCACCTGGCTGCCTGGGGGCAGAGGTGCCCCTCTCTGGGGCGGCACTCAGCTAGCAGGCTGCTGGCTGGGTAGGCGGTTCCGAGAGGCGTTGGCTGGGAGTCTGGTGGGGGGCCCGCCTCTGCCTCTCTCTGGCTGGGCGACCTTGTGCCCCTTCGCCTCTGAGTGTCTGGCCCCACCCGGAAGATGGAGCTCGTGTGACCCCTACCGATGCCATGCCAGGGTGGACTATAAGGAGACCCGGACCGGAGTGTGGCAGTGGGGGGCCTGCACGGGCACGGAGACCCCCAGGGGCACAGAGAGAGGGTGAGCCCACCCACACCCACCTCAGGAGGCTGAGTTTTTGAAGAGTATCTGAGCAGGACGAGGCGGGCCTAGGCAAGCTCAGCCCTGCCCCTTGTCCCCTTCCCTAGCCAAGACTGGGGACTCACTCCTCCCTCTGGTCACCCCCCTCAGTGGCAGCGTTCTCAGGTGCCCCCCACACTAGGAGTCTCCTGAGGACCTGCGCCGGCCCCTGCCCTTCTGCGGTCCAGGCCCCTGCAGAGTTGTGCAGCTTTGCCCCAACCTGTCCCTCCCCCACGGCCCCTCGACCCTCCCTTTGAAAGCTGGGGCTCTCCTGGCCTAGGCCCAAAGAAGGGCTCCTCGCTCTTGGCCAGGCCAGCCTGGAAATGCCTTGCCCCCCCCTCCCAGCTTCATCCCGGCCTCTCCAGGCTGAAGGTGCTCCACCCTCCGCCGCCGGCCTCGGTCCCAGATGCCCAGGAGCATTGGTCTCAGCCTACCTCAGGTGCCGCCTGTGGCTCAGGGGCAGGGTCTCTCACGCCCCTTCCCTCCATCCGGGAGGGCTGCTGCAGCGGCTGCCCAGTCGTGGGGGTGTTTTCCACAATGGCGACTGGACAGAGGCCCCCACTCCTCATTTGTCCAGGGACCCTGAACAAGGTCTTTCCTGATGTTCCCATGGGCTGAGTGAGTCCCTGGGTGGAGTTTTGCATTTTCTCCAGGTTTCTAGTTCTCCATGGAGGAGGGAGTCCCAGAGGCTGAGTCCAGGCCCTTGGGAAGGGGTGGGGAGATGGCCCGCTGCCTCCAGTCCAGCCCCTGTCTCGCAGCCTGCAGTGCCGGGGTCCCCTCCCACCCCCCAGGGGGCACAGAGCCCCTCAGAGTGGAGCGTGTGTGGCTCCGGAGGGTGGGGTGACCAGGCAGTGTCCCCTGCCCTCTCCTGCCGGCTGCCCACTTCAGAAACCCTCCTCAGGGTCTCGCCAGGACTCCGGATCTCTGGCTTTCACTTGTGTTTGAGGGTTTTTGTGGTTTATCTGAGTTTCCGCTCTGGGCAGTTTCAGATCCTCTTGTGTCAAAGGCGGCTTGTCTGCACTTTGACCTTCACCCAGTTTGCACGTGCTGCCTTCCTGCCTTGGCGGGTGTCCCCCTGGAAAGTGGGGCGGGTTGTCTAAGCCTCAGTCTCCCCCTCTGAGAAACTGGGCTCCATCCCTGCCCGACGGTGCCTCGCACAGAGTGGGCGCTCGGCGAAGGCTTCCTGGCTGTCCCCGGGAGGCACGCCACTTCCCTGTGGGGTGTGGCCACGTTGGAGTCCGCGCTCCATGACCGCGAGGGCTGCCCGCGCCAGGGGGTGTCATCTGCAGTAAATAGCTTTCTGGAGTGAAGTGGCTGCCCATGGGTGCGCGGGGGGCACTGTGCTCTGACAGCCCTGTGCGCACATTCTGGAGGCTCCCTGGCTACAGGGAGGCTTCACGGTGAAATTAAATGGTCCTGCATTATGTGTGCTTACAAACCTTTAGGCCCACATTCTAGAAGAATGGTTTCCAGCCAGCTTGCATGAGGTGGGCCTGTGGGCTCTGAGGTCAGTGAATTGGAGCTGTACGTTTTGTTCCTGTGTGTTTACCCCAGGAGACACGACCTACACCCCCTCCCCCGGGGCAGCTGGGGGTGAGGGCAGACCTTGCAGCTTACAGATTTTCTAAGTCTGTGTCTAGTCCTCAGGTCTGTGGTCTCTTTGGCACCTCTACTTACCCACCCCGTGCATGGGGGTCCTCTTTCCACCCCGGTGAGTGGGGAGCAAGATCGTGTTCCCCAGATCTCACAGCTGCTGTGAAGGGGTGGGGGGTGCAGGGCCCCGAACACCCAAGGGAAGGTGAGGCTCGCCCTTCTCCTGATGCTGTAACGCTTTCAGTGCAGACAGAAGTGGAGGGGCAGTCCACAGCCCCCAGAGTGCTCAGCTTCTGGTTTGTCCTGTCTCCTCCAGACCCCTGCTCATTTTCAAGCCCCACCCCCATTATCGGGAAGCAAGCTGTGGGTCTCATTCGGAAGACTTTGAGTTACCTGTTTCTAAAAGGTAATGGCTCTAGAAAACTTATAACCGCAATACCACTATCTCCCCCAAAGCATTGACATTGAATCTGAAAGATTATCAAATGGCCAGTGTTGAAGTAGATGCCCCTCCGTTCACTTTTAAGCAGGCATCTCTAGCAAACTGGCTCAGGCGGTGGAGTCCCGGGGCCGCCGCCCACCCACCCTCGCCCACCCGTGATTGCTGGACCCATGTGACGTGCTAGAGTCCCAGGCTGGGTGTAGAAGCTGACCCCAGTGACGGGCAACTGTCCTCACGGCTACCATCCTCGGCTCCACCTTGGACACCAGAAACTCTGGGAATGGAGCTTTTTTTCCTAATTCTTTCACAGCAAAACCTGACCCTTGGCAGCAGAGAAAAAGCCATTTGTGATCCTTATTTATCCTTAGGATGAAAATTTGTATGTTTCCTTGCGGAATGTTGTGTTTGATTTGGGACGTTATCCCAGGCTCTGGGGGTGGGGGTGTGTGTGAGAGATCCCCCATCCCCCCGGAATGGTGGGCTCGCTGGGTTCTGAAATCCGACATACTCCATCTGGACGTGCCTGGTCCCCCTGGGGAAGCAGGCAATGAGCAGCCTCAGACTCCAGTCCATCCTGTGAGGCCTCACTCCTAGCTGGGCACGGTGGTTGTGGGCTTTCCTGCTTGTGTCCTGAGTGGGGTGGGTGCCGGAGCTGAGGCGAGGTCAGGTGTCCCTGGGGCTCTTGGGTTGTCTGCAGTGGTGGGGGTGCCCATGGGGGCCTCAGTTGCCCAAGAGGCTGTGCAGTGGTGTGAGCGCTCTGAGCTGGCCGTGCCACCTCTTAGCTCTGAGCACCCTGGGCCTCAGTTTTCCCTTCTGTGACCAGCACCCAGGACGTGTTGCCATAGGCTGATGGGGGACTCCGAGAAATGGGGTCCCAGCTGGGCTTTTTCTCTTCCCTCCTTCTGTGATCCACCTCTTGGTGTCCCCCACCCAGCCGTAACGGGGTTGGGCCACAAGATGGGGCCAGACTCTTTCAGGGCCCCAATTTGCCTTTGTTTCCTTCATGATATGGGAGCCCTGGGGTACCCCCTCGGGGACTCCCTCGAGGAGCAGGTGCTGGAGGTCCTTGGCAGTAGGCACAGGAGCAGGCCGAGGTGGCCCCATGGCCATTTTCTGTCTCTCCTTCTGTCTGTCTCCAGCCAGTGTGGCTGGGCTGGTGGCCACGGGGCCAGGCTTCTGCCCTGGCGTTTCTCCCTAGCCTGGCATGGCCAAGGGGCGGGGCTGGGGGCCCTGTGTTCCTGCACAGAGCCCAAGCCTGGTGGGCTGAAGAGGGGCCCCACCTGGAGACACAGGCCCAGGGGAGAGCAGTGGGTGCAACAAGAGCCTTTCTGCTTCTCTGACAGACAGGATGCTTCCCTGCATGGCTGGCTTTAACGTGCAGTTGGGAGGACATTGAGGGGCTGTTCCCGCTCTGCTGGGACACAGGCGAGATGGAAGGCTGAATGTGTTTGACACAGACCTGTTTTAATGATGCCTTGCACGTGTGACCTCATTGTGTCTGCAGAGTGCCTGTAAATGGGCGTACAGAGACCCTCAGGCTCTGGTCCCAGACCCTTGGCTGTGCCGTGTCCCCTCTGGGTGACTTGGGAACCAGGACAGCTCCTTTTCCAGCCCAGCATGCCCATGTCACCCAGCTCCCTAGCCATTGGCCAGGATGTCCCTGGCCCCTACATCCTTGTGGGTAGGAAGCCACGGCACCCGTGTCTGTCCATGGGGTTGGGTTGGGAGCACTCAGTAGGTGACAGCAGTCCTGGAGGTCAGCCAGTGAGAGGAGCCGAGTTCTGAACTCTGGTGTGGCAGGCTTAGTGGGTGCTCCTTGCCGCCCTCTGCATGGCCCCCCTTGCCAGTGTCTTTGATGTTGGTGTGGTGACCGCAGGGCCATCTCATTCTTTAGCTGCCTACCCCCCACCGTAGCTTACGTCCCCGAATGCCCAAAGTACCCCGAGGGGGGAGGAGCCTCAGTGTTGTCATCTGAGTGGACACGGCCGCTCTGACCTCTGGTCACACGAGCGTCTCAGCATCAGCAGGGGTGAAGGGCTTGTGGCCGTGACTGACCACTCAACATACTTCTTGGTGTTTTTGCCACTGTCAGCTCCCACTGGCCTGACCCTGGAGGGCAGCAGTAAGGGCTGGGCCCGAGGGTGGCGGGGCCGTCACAGGGGGCAAGGGATGGGGTGGGTGCTGGACACGTCACAGGGGGAGGCTGTTCCTGAGGACACTGAAGGATCCCAGGGCGTCTGGGTGTCTGGGGAGACAGGCAGACCCCCTGAGAGCTGGTGTTGCATGACTCCACGGCAGCCGTACCTCACACCGTTTTGAACCCCATGTCACTTTGCACTCTGTCCCCTACTTTCAGTTCATAGCTGGCCCTGTGAGAGGATCAGCTAGTGGTCTGTTGCAGTTTTAATTTCTTTCTGGAAGCAGCATTTGCTTCCTGGTCTCAGAATGCAGTCCTGAGCCCGCCCAGACCAGGGAGGCTGAGGGATGGTAGTGTGGCTCTGCGTGCCACCAGGCCGAGTGGCAGGAGCCGTGGGTGGCATGCCTTGGTTCCTGTTTGTGCTTTGCACTGAAAGGTGGGCTACGTCCAGGCGATCTGGGTGCGGCCACCTGGATCCCAGGGGCTGGCAGCGCTGCTGAGCGCAAGTCCCTACTTTGGACTCATGGTGGTCCTAGGATTTCCCTTTCATGGAGCACGCTGGGCTGCTCAGCCCTCCCCCTGACCCCCAGGCAGCGTCCCCAGGCCTCGGAGGAGGAGAAACAGAAGCTCCAAACACTTGGCCATTGACCGAGTGCAGGGTTGGGTTGGTTTGTGCTTGAGCAGCTTTTCAAACTAGAAATAACTTTGTACTCTTTTCCTTTTGCAAAAGAAGCCTTTTCTGGACACAACCTACCTGTTCAGAAACGCAAGCAGAGGGTGAAAGCCCCTGTCCTCGTGGGCTGGCGTGTGTGGCGGTGGGCTTGATGCCTGCCGGCTGTGGGCCCCCAGGAGGTCCTTTTCTGTCTGCTGCCTCCCGCCGGGGGCTTCCCAAGGTGGCCTGTGGCTCTCCTGTGTGCTCGGCAGTGTCTGTCACACCATTGTCCGACCTGGAGAAGCATCCAGGGGAAAAAGGCAAGGCCAGGCTTTCACCATAGCTCGACTTGCCCTGGACCTGCCATCCCGCTGTGTTTTGGGCAGAGGACTGACCCCCAGGCCTGGCCTCCATCTGAAGGGTGATGGTGTGCATGCTCCTGCAGGGACACAACCACTCACTCTGCCTGCCACCCCACAGGGGAGAGTGCTGGGTGACCTGTGCAATTTTGTGCCCGGGGAGCCTCTCTGAGCGTCTTTCCTCCCCGGGGCAGCTCGCAGGGGTCAGGCTCTCTGACCGTCCCCTTGATGGTCTCCTGAGAGGTGGGTCCTGGCATCTGGGATGGCAGGGCTTGTGAGTGGCCCCCAGCCTCTTATGCTCTGGCTGCCCCGCCCCCCCCCCCCCCGGGAGCTGGTGCCTGGGCTTCTGGGCTCTGTGAGAGGGAGAGGGCTGGACACTGCCACCCTGAGAGCACACCAGGAGCCCTG